GTTGTTTGTGTGTGTGTGTGTGTGTGTGAGAGAGAGAGAGAGAGAGAGAGAGAGAGAGAGAGAGAGAGAGAATGTTGTATGTGGGGAGGGAACCCACAATCTCCAAGGAGACATATCAGGTTGACCTCTACCTGAGACTCCACATTTGGACACAAAGGCACCAAGGCCCCAGAGCTGGTTGTTGCATGCACCCACAATTAAATGAAGAGAAGAGAAGAGTGAATAAATAAGGAAAGAGTAAATAAATAAATGAAAAGTGGGGCTGAGCAAAGTGTAAATTTGGAAGTAAAACTCAGTTTTCTGAGTTGCTTGGATACCTCTATTTTGGATACTGAGATTGTGTCTTTTCTACCCAGCAGGCTTCAGGTTCCCTCTTAGTAAATACCTAGTCAAAAGGGTTCCTGTATTCTTGCTCAAAAATGAATGACAAGTGATCTTCTCCCTTTCTCTTCTATCATATTTGCTTTAGAGATCATTCCAAGGGTTCTGCCCTCTACTGCCACTCACCTCTTGTTTAATCTCTTCCTGCTCCATGCCAGTCCATCCCTCCAATATTCTGACCTTTCTTGACCCTTCCCCACCCTCCCTTACCCTCCCTAACCTACAGAAACTATGGCCAGGCCCAGGGGCCATGGTGGCAAAGGCAGACACTCTGTTCTGCTCACAAGGAGGACCCCTTCTCAACCCCAGCAAACACACACTCTTATTGGGTGGATGGAGCGTCTTGTGCTGCCTAGAGAGAAATTAAATTACCATTCAAGAGTTAGTCTCTGAAGACTCTCAGTTCATCTACATTCTGCCCACTACTCCCTGACCCCTCTTTTCCATCCACCCCTGCCCTTTGTCCAGGGAACCAGAGCCCAGTGGCCCAGGTGAGGATGGCAAAGGCAATCACATGGGATTTCAGTTGTAAAATTTGGCCTCGTGCAGGGATCACATCCCAGTTACCTGGCTCTACAGTCTCCTGTCCACTTAAGGATTGTGCTTGCTATTGGAAAGAGAAATAGGAGTGATCACTCACAAAGGCTTAGTCTCTGCTCCCCCTACACACACACACACACACACACACATATACACACACACATACACACCCACACTCCAACCCCAGTACTTAAAAGAGACATGGGGCCAGGGGCCTGTGTCACAGCAGTGAGATGAGGAGGTGATGGAGGAACCTGGCTGGGAAAGGATTCCCTGTGGGTTTGTCAGGGCTGATTCCCAGCAGGGTGTTTATGGGTGTCTAAAGGGGGTCAAGGTCTCACTGCGACTGAGGTCTAAGCATTATTAAAAAGCCAACTCACCTGTTGGAAAGGTTTTCTGATAATCATCATCTGTGATGTGAAGAATCTCTGGGTGAGAAGAAGCCAGGTCAGAAGAGCAGGGTATCCCTCCCAGAGCCTCTCACATCCTAGCACCTGTAGCCCCAAACTTCTTCCTCTGGGCCATGTGTGCCAGCTTTCCTCAGGGTGCACTGGGGACCCCTTGCATCAGAATCACCTGGGACACTTGTGGAAACTCATTAGAGTCTCTGACCTCACTCCATACCTTCTGCACCAGGCTCTCTAAAAAGGAAGCTAGAACCTGCAGTTTCCATAGGCACCGGGTGATGGTAATCCACTCTAGTCTCACATTGGAGAATGAGGAAATTCCAAGTAGGACACACTGCAGTGGGGTGAGGCATGGACAGCACGTAGGGAGTGAGCAGGGTGCAGAAGATTCTTTAAGGAAGTTGGGAGTGAGGGGACACGGGGTGGGAAGAGGGGACACAGATGAGTGCGGGGTTAATAGGTGGCAGAGACCTGACCTTGTGGTCAGGTCAGGAGAAGGGTCCAGGTGAACTGGAGGGAGGGAAGATAGATTTGGCTCAGCCACCTTATCAGACATTTATCTCCATCAGCTCTGGAGCTAAGATCTCACCTCCATTTCATAGATAACATGGAGGAGAGGAATTCTTCTTTTCTCCAATGCCACAAAGCGAGCAACTTATTGAACTGTTCATTGAATTAGTTTACACTATTAGGTGTTAGGAGCATGAAATTAGTTCATGGAAGTGCAATGCTCACTCCACTGGGCCATTCTTTGTAAAAGTTCCTTCTAGTCACCCTTAGACCTCAACTGTAGAAACAGATGAGCTTCATACACCCCCTAGTGGGAAGGAAATGACTTGCAAACACTGCTGTGAGGTTAGCCTTTGGAATCTAACTCCATTTAGTTGACACTTGTCAACACTTTCAAAACATAATTTTCAAGTTTCAGTTCAGCCACTGACTCCATAAGATTGAAGAGCTCATACTCATTCCATCCACAGCCAGTGACAGGAGGGCACTGACAGCAGGACCCATCCTTTACCACACGCTGCAGTGAGGACTCTATAGCGAACAGTGAATGTGTGTGTGTGTGATCTTCTATATAATAAATGAGTAATATGCAAATTGACTGAACGGCAGAAAAACCAGTCA